CCAGGTGTGACCACGGGGAACTGAAGGAAGCATGTGAATTGCTGTGCTCATCCAGCAATGGTAGTGACCTCTAGGAACCAAGTCAGCTGGCACGTTGATCTTGGACTTCCCAGTCTCCAGAACTCTGAGAAATATTTGTCATTTAAGCCACCCAGTCTGTGGTACTTTACTATAGCAGCTGAAACTGACACAGACAATAAGGAATCCTGAAAGAGTGGCAGGTATGCAGGAGATCCTAAAACCCTGATTCAAACCTACTGCATTTCACAGGCAGAGAGGACCAGAAGGCAGTTAGACATATTAGTCTGAAGCTTAATTGTGATTCAGTGTTGATGAGGGACAAAGAATAGGTACTGTATTAAGGGGACATTCCTCATTCTGTTTAACCAGTATTTTTCCAGGCCCTGGTTAGGCACTGTAGCACATGCAAAGAAAAATCATGCCTAACCTTCTACCTTAAGGAGTGTTTTTATTATGGTCATGGACTTAAGTTCAACATGCATGAAAAGTGTTTCCAAGAATTATAGTTGAAGTAAGGTGTAAAATTAATGAGTTTAGGTCTGTTTCCCTGGCTTTCTCTGAGGTTTGACCTAAGTACATTCCTCTTTTCTTCTTTCTTTTTTCTTCATTTTGAAAGATATTTTTCTGCTTGCTGGTTGACTAATTTTAGGTAAATACACACACGCATGCACACAGCTACAAACTTAGGAAGGGTGCAGTAAATATTTTTTAAAATGCTTAAAATATTTAAGAAGTATTCTTAAAAATTCAATAAATATTTAAGAAACATTCTAAAATATATGAATTTGCGTAAACTAACTGTAGGATGCAATACTTGCCTTTGGAAATTAAAATTTAGAATAAATAGTAAAATTTTATAATTCAAGTTTAATATGCATTCTAAAAGTGCTGAAATGAACTTTCTATCATAAAGCATTGAGGAACAGTAATTTAAAGCAAATAATGGTTTCTCGGTTTACCAGGAATTTGCATATTTTGCCAATATTTAATGTAATCTCATAGAAGATTCTTTTCTAACGTATGAGATTTACTAGCTAGAATCACATAATTTATCTCGAATCTCTTGATTTAATTTAAAAAATTTTAAGTTCAATCCCTCTTTAGTCACATTTTAGCCAGTGGAATGCAGGTAATACATTTTGTTCTTCTTTTCCCAGAAACTGATGTGTTTATTCTTTTATGGACTCAGAGGGACTTTTTAAATTAACTTCAATTTTTACGGCCTTCTTTTCATATCCCATGTGTGAATTTACTGTGGAGACTGATGAATGATGGAACTAACTTCAGCAGCCTTCCTTCTGAATTGCTTTGCTTGGGTGAGCATAGAAAACCTTTGGCAATGTGGCTCTGACCTGAGTTTTAGCACTTAGGGGAAACTTTTTTAGAACAAGCCAGGATATGAATCAATATGCAGGGAGCACTTGAACACAAAACATACTTTTAAAAAATTCATTGAAAATGTGAAAGCTTTTTCAGTTAAGGGTATAAGAAAGCAGTTCATCTCCCTTTTTTATGATTTTCTTTTTTAAAGAATTGATTTTATTAGTGCTCAAGATAGAGCTAAGTAAAATTACAATCCTAAAACATTTTGGTCAATGGTTCTAATTAATATAATTCATATTTTAGAAAAAGATCATGGGTTGTAATTGAAAGAAATCATCTAGGTCTAAAGAATACCTACTGTAGGCAGCCCTATTAAGAATAATTCTGAGGAAATATAATTTCCTGGACTTGCAAAGCAGCAAAAGGAAGGTTTTCCTTCCTTATAAGCCTGGAGGTTTTGGTGTTTGGCCCCGTGGAGATCCAAGGGCTATCTGGGCTGATTAACATGCATGTAATTAACGTATACCAGCTAGAAAGGCAGAGCCAGTCTTATTTGGTTCTGTACTACTGTGAAATAATTTCTTTATGTCTGCATTATTTACAGTGTGTGTGTGTGTTGAGGATAGGACGTCTAGTCTCCCTGGGCATCATACTGCTATCTTCTTCAGGGTTATTGCTTCCTATCCTAGCCAACCCCAAAGAGTAGACAAGCTTTTCCTAGCATTCCAACTAGATTTTCTTTCTGTTCATATCACCATTTTTAAGCCACATTTTCCATCACATGGTAAGAAACACTGTAAATAATTGAGGTGATCCATCAAGAGCCCCATTCTTGATAATGAATAATTGCATAACTCAGTAGAAGTCAATTAAAAACCACAAACTTCAGAACCCTTTGCTCAGGGAAGATTTATTATTACAGATGGCATTTAATACAATAGATTTTGGGGGTCAAAATTTTTTAAAGTTTTAAAAATTCAGTTAAAGCTTGACAATGATCTTGAGTAATATTATTTACATAATGTCAAAGTATATTAGTTCTTTGAAATGAAAAGGATGAATTTTTTTCTTTCTTTAGCACAAGATGTCTGACATGTTTGAGATTTTATAATTCCATTTGAAACAACATCCCACTGTGGGATACTTTTTTTTTTCCCCTGTGAAGATTTTGAGTGATTCTTACTCTTTGGTTGTGCCTATATGATGAAAAGTAGAATGAAATGAAAGAAGTCAGGATATTTTCCTCTGTTCAAATACCTGAACAATTAGAACTTGCTAGATAAATGACTCAAAATGTTTATCTGGTTGCTTTGTTAGGACACATCCAACATTTTGATAGAATGTAATAGTTAATTTATAATACCACTGCATATCAGTTTTAAAAAATAAAGAATTACTTTTTCTTTAGAGACATCTATTCCTGCTTTAAGAGTCTAAGGGGAAAATACTGACTCTCTAAAATGTTATTATCTGTAGCATTTTTCTTCCCTTTTAGGGTTTTTCATGTCCAAAATATAAATTGTAAGAGCAGTATCTATCCTCAAAAACCAAAAGTATTTATCTATGTATTTTGAGGTTCTGAATCTTTGCAGCCTAAGTCTAAAATAAGGCTAAAGGCTTAGGTAGGTTCAGCAGTCAGGCTGCCAGATGACTAACTCCAACCAACAGCACACATGTGACTTGCTTCCTACTGAAATTAAACTGCCAGATAAAAAGGAAGAATTGTCCCCTGTTTAATAACAAAGAATGCGATCATTAGAATTCTTCAGATTTGGAATTCCAGCAGTGTTCTTGTGTTTTCCTCTTGAAGTGTGACACAAATGAATAATATCAAAAATAAAAATAAACCTCAAAAAACCCCCCAAAACCAAGCAGTCCTTTGACTTTATAAGGCTCAACATCAACTACAACAAATTCTAAAAATACCTAAGACCAGTGAAATGTCAAAGCTGAAGGGACAACATACTGGGGATAGGACAGATTTTCTTAAACCATTTGATTTATTTAAACCTACTAGTATTAACTTAGTTAATTTGTTCAAATACTACCATTTCCACTGACTAGTAGGGGCCATAATATTTCATATTCCTATACATATTTGACTTCGACCTCATAAAAAGTCCCTTAGGTCTATAATACTTTTATTCTTGTATAATCTGAAACAAATCCTTTCCTTTTAAAAATCAAACAGACCACGTTATACACACAGTTGACTATTTACAAAGCACCCAATTAAATCCTACTTAATTCTCTCACTCTAAAAATTCCATCTAACTGGTATGTAAAGTACTCATCACATTAAATGCACAATGTTCACAAGCCCTGACAGTCCTACCTAACCTAGAAAATATTACCTTCCTTAGAAAAGAAATTCTTCAGAGTGTAAGGTTTTAAGAAATGAGACCAGAAATCACAGTACAAGACAGATAAACCTACTTTAATATTCACATGTAAAAGTTACACATCACAAGAGTTGGACAGTAGTTTACCAGGAACTAACGTAGCTATCGTGAAAATCATTTTTATAAAAAAATAATCTAGATGTGGTCATCAGAATTTTTGGTCTACTTAGGTTAATGTTTGAAGATCGACTTTTATCCCTGCTTGAAGGATTTGCCATTATGCCTTTTTAATTTTTTTCTCTCACTGTTGCTTATTAATATTCTTTGGAGGAAGGAAAGCAGAAAGTGTTCATTTCCAAGAGGTTGTCCTTTGGTAGCAAGCAGAGAACATTTTTCATTTCTATGATTTTAAATAATCTGTACACACATGAAACTTCAGTAACATTAAGCTTTAGTGTAAGATGAAAAATGATAAGCACTTTTTCACTTCGATAAAACAGATTTCATAAACTCCTTAAGGATCCAAGCATTTCCCTGTCCCATATGCAAAATCATTCAGAATCCACATTGACTTCAATCAAAAAACAAACACTGACTCTTTATGTATTACACCATCAAACCCTGTACTTAAAAACTGATAAAGTATTTTTCCAACATGTATGCTTCAAATACAAAGATTTCAATCGAGGTTAAAGAAAAGACATTTGAATGGACTCAGGACAAGTTTATTTTGTTATTAAACATTTCATGCAGTCATGCAGGACCTCTAGCTATAACTGTTACTTCCGATTCTACACGGTACTTTGCAAAACAAAAACAAATTAAAAGCCTAGCCAAACAGAAAAGACATTCAAGATATCAAGAGCTCTTCAGTTGAGCTGAGAAATAATTTTTCAAAAGAAATAATTCCATAGATTTAAAAAAGACACATAATATTTACAAAAAATATTTAATTAAAAATATCTTAATTACAGTAGTCTAGTAAAGCATATACTTTCTCACACTTATAGAACATCTCTATATATACACGTATGAAATGTCACTCAGTTATCTATACAATATGTAACATTCTTGCAGGGAAAAGAAAGCTCCCTGCCCCGTTTTAATCATCTATTTTAAACAATAGATGTTAAAAAAAAATATCTACAATGCTCTGGTATATTAGTAAAGCTTCAAAACAAAAATTGAGCTCCTTGGTCACAAGTAGGCTTCTAAACTCATTTTTAACTCTTGATCTTCTATTTATCAGTCCTGTTACACTTAAGCTTAAAAGTTAAACTGCACCTCAGAAAACACAGAAATGTACAATTCACAGCGGTTATAAATGAAGAGACAAAAGAGAATACGGATGTAGACTTTATGAACGTGCAAAAAGAAAAAGATGAAAGTTTTAATTTTCTTTCCTCTCGCTCTTGGAATGACGGGTGAAAACGTTTCTAGGATTTGCTGATGTTTTCTCCTTTCCTCCGGTGCCATTTTTTCTCTAAGTTCTGCTCTTCCCCCTCCCTCTCTAGTCTCCTGGCTCGGGCTCAGGCGACCGCACACCTGTGGAAGAGGAATGAATAGAGGGGGTGTGGGAACCTTCCCGCTGCAGACTAACTGGCGCCACCGACCAAACTCAAGACATGCTTGATCAACAACCCAAAACAAACCACCAGGTCAGACAACACCCGCAGCCCGTGGCCGGCCAGGCGCCGAGCGGACAGCCGCGGGCCCCCGGGAAGCCAGGAGAGGGGACACACTCCCGGGCCCCATCCGCATCCCCCTTTCTGGGTGTCAGACTGCTGCGCGGGGGTACAACGGGCAGTTTCCACGCCCTCGGCGGGGAGGAGGGCAGTTAGAGCCCGCAGTCACTGGAGGTGGCAAGGCCAGGAGCTGATGCGTCCCCATTTAGGGCGAAGTTCCAGTTACTAAAGCGAAGTTACGGATTCACTTACTAACTGGATGGCAGGGAGGGGTGGGTGTGGGGGGGGGGGCGGGCGGCGGCGGTTGCCCGCCTTCTCCGGAGTTTGCCCTCTGAAATGCTGGGGGCAAAGAACACTGTGGTGCCTGGCACCGGAAGCCCCGGAGGACTAGCGTCTCCGGTGATCCGCCACTCGAGAAGAGAAAGGCGCGCTCACCTGGACAGCGCGGCTCAGCGGCACAGAATGCTGTCGCCCTGTTTGTTCACCGCGCCGGCCTGGAACAGCAACGGAACACCAAGGGAAAGGTTAGCAGGCGCAAACACCGCACTCGTCACTGTCCTGGATTCGTTCCGGGAAACCAGGCTAGCGCGCGGATTCTCCACCCCAGCCTGCAGCCCTGGGGACCCCCTCCTCTCACCCGCCCCCGGGGAACAGGCTGGACTTGACAGGCCAGGGTGCGCCCAACCCCACTCCCACCCTGCGCGTTCACCCTGACCAGCGCTCATTGAGCCCAGCCAGCTACAGGCGGGTTCGGGCGCCCGGAGAAGGGGGGTCCCGGGTGCTGTCATTCTCGAGTGCCCCGGACCCGAGGAATGGAAACGCGGTGGCCGGAAACCCAGTCACTGCCCTCCTGGACCCCCGCGGCGGTCGCCGGGGCCGGCGCCGGGCCTCTCACCGGGTCGGTGTTGAGCGCTGTGAGCGGAGTCCGCGGCGGAGCTGCCGGACAGGTCCCGGCCGAGTGGTGCGGTGGCGCCGGTGGGGGCGGCTGCCTCAGCAGAGCCGGGTGCGTCTCCAGGGCCAGCTGCAGGTCCAGGATGTAGTCGATAACGTGCTGCAGGATCTCCACTTTGCTGACTTTCTTGTTGGGCGGGATGGTAGGCACCAACCTTCGTAGGCGGCTGTAGCAGTCGTTCATATCGCACTGCAGGCACAGCGCTGGCTCCTCCGCCGCCGCCTCCGCCGCCTTGCAGCGTGCGGCTGCAGCAGCCGCCGCCGCAGCCGCCGAGCCGCCCAGGCTGTGGCTGTGCTCGGCCAGGCAGCGTAGCGCCAGCTCCCCTCCGCCGCAGCCCGACGGCGCCTTGCGGCCCGAGGGGCGCACCGGGCTCACCGCCTTCATCGCGCGCGCCCTGCGCCCTGTGCGAGCGGACACGCTAGGGCGAACGAAAGAGGCAGGCAAGCGCCGGGCTCCTGCCCGTGGCCGGCTTCACTCTCCTTTCCTTCGCAACCGGCGCGCTCAGTCCGCGCTCCAGGCACCGCGAAGCTCCCAACGATCTCGCGCCCAACAATTGACTGAGGGTCTGTCCGGGTTTTGCGAGGGGATCTCTCTGCTCAGTGGGCGACACTCGGCTGGGACCAAAAGGCAAGAATAATCAAAAGCACTGGAAGGAAAGCTGCCCACCAGGGCCCCTAGTCACTCCCTTCGGAGCTCCGACTATAGCCTAGCCTCCGCCGCCGCACTCCTGAACGCCCGAGGTCCCCCGCTCCCAGCACAGACTCCCAAAAGCACCTCCTCGCTGCTTTCACCAGGCCGTCGCGCAGCAGTATTTATAGAGCCGCGCGCCCTAGGGGCGGGGCCAGAGCGCAGGCTGGGTCCCCGCGCGAGCCGAGTGGAGCAGGGCTGGGCGTGCGGAGGGAGCCGGCGAGGGCGGAGGCTCCGGGCAGTGGTGGGGGGGCGGGGAGCCGGGCAACCCAGCGGAGGGGTGGGCGGGGGGTCGGGAGTGGCCAGCCAATTGGGCGGACGGTGCCACCTCAGGGACTGACGCCTGGGCCAATGGGATGGGCACTCCATTCCGTCAACGCCGTAGGTCGGATCTCTGAGAAAAGAGCCGGGTGGGAGCGGGGCCAGGCTGGTGTGTGCCCTAGGGAGGGGAAAGAGAGAGAGAAGTTCCTGCGTAGAACTGCGGGAATGTGCGGCTGGAATTCATTCTCCTTCGGCTTAAACTGCTGAAGCATCGCTGAGCCTTCCTGGCTCGAGAATCTCCTGCCACCCCGAGTAGCGTGGCGCCTAGGGACCCTCCGCCCGCCACCCATCATCACTCCATACCTGGGATTCCAGTGCCTTAAGAGACACTGCTCAAGAAGGCACGTTCCTTCTGTTCTCTATTTTTCCCTCTCCGGTTCATTATTTGCCTTTTCACAATTGCCTAAACCATAATGATGGAATGGAATGTGTAGCCCTTCCGTTTTCTTTTATGAAAAGGTTTAAAGCTTGGGGGCGGGGTAGGGGGGGGGGGGGGAAGAAAGAATGCCGAATGCAATTTTTTGGTGAAAGGAGATATAAATAAAACAAAACATCATAAATTTTTTCTTTTGCCCATCTAGGTGCAAAAGTGGACTCAAGAAATGCAATTGCCTTAAGTATTACATTTGAGCATGTAAATATTAAAAATGCATGGACATGGAGTATTTAAAATTCCACCATGACGTATAGTATTAATCCGTTTTATGTAAAATTCAGACCTGTAACTTAATGTAGGCCATTAATGCACTGCTTCACGTATGTCAACGTATCCCTCTTTAAATAAGATGCTGAGACTACGCAGAGTCTCCTTTTGCAACAAAGCATTAAAATTCACACTTCCAGTCCATGGAGTCCTGTTTGGGCCCCACTGTGCCCAAAGTCTGCTAATTAAGGATGGTTCTGTTAGATTTCTCATGGAAAAGCTGTCCTTCAAGGGTTCAAAACAAAATTACACAATGTACTTTGATAGGGCCTTGTGTGAACTCAAAGAACTTACATGTATATGCTCATGGACATGAGCTGAGGAGGGAATGCTGGAGGGTGGAGGGTGCAGCGAGGAGGGGGAGAAAAGGGAGAAAAAAATATTGGGACAACTGTAATAGCATAATCAATAAAAACTTTTTTTTAAAAAATTGAGCCCTTCAGATGAGAAATGAGCATAAAAACTCGCAGTCAGTGAAGACATGAATTTTGAGTGCTGTCACCCTTCAAACCTCCCATCTTTAAACAAGCTAAGAGATGAACTAACTCTAGTTATCTTCATTCATGTTCATGATATGGATTGGCACCTTCATTTTTAAAGATAATTGAATGAGACATGGACCTCCTCTCTTCCTGTCTTCCCTCTGTTAGGAAACCCTCTCTCCTTTCCCACAGCTGACATACTTGCAGCAGGCAGGTGTTTTGTTTAGCCACGTGGGTACTTTATGACTATTGCACTACTAGTATTTCCCCAGAGCACATTCCTTTTTCCTGATGAAATGGGGAGTAATTATTTAATGCTGGTTTCACAAGTAGATGCAACAATCCTCCTCTTCCTTTATACATTACTGCCTCTAATAGTTGTTTGGAAACAAGTGACATTCTCTTTTACTTACATGTATACATAAATGGTCTATGTGCACACTTACCAAGAAGAGCAGATTTATAAAACCCCCAAGATAGGCCCCCTAAATATTGTCATGGTTTTATATATTCTTGTGTTAGTATAAACACACACACACACACACACACACACACAGAGAATATTGTCATTTTAGACAAAAAGTTGGTTGAGGGAGGAGTGGTGGTGGTAAGCTATTATCTTAGAGCCAGTCATATCAGCACAGATAACGATAACACATGGATATATGTACAGACATTCTGTTCCATCGATTTTTCTCTTTTCTGGAGTATAAAAGCAGCTCCAAAATTTAAAACCCAAGATTTTTCTCTGTTTGGAAAAATGTAACTATGCTAATATGCATTTCAAAACTTTATATATCTGAACTTAATTGAAATTAAAATTTAATTTTTAAATATGTGACACAAAGGGACAATCCTATTCATCTCTTTGGATTTTGCTAAATCTCAGAGGGCCATGCCCTAGGCATGGCAAGTGCCAAATGCCTCAGTTTCAAGTTTTGTTAGAGGTCTTCTTGGTGACTGGCTTAAAATCAGAAAGGCTGAGTTACTGTGGGAGGTAAATTCAAAGGCGTGTACCCTGGCCATGTGAATAAGAGCACCCAGGAAAAATATGATCCCCAAATCTTGCCAGCGGAGTAGGCAAAATCAGGTATTGTACTGTTCTTTTTGAAGGTTGGAAGGGACGAGGAAATTCAAAATTAAAGTGCTATGTAAAATATTGTACAATGGAAATAAAGAATAATATTCTGTGCTTTGGGGTCCCTGAAGCCAGAGACTATTAGGGGCTACACAATGTATACTTTCGATTCTTAGACATGACGTCAAAGCTGAAGTCACAAAAGACTCTTGGCACTGACAGCTCAAAACAGAGTTTACTCAGCAATTACCAGCTTTTGGAAAAACCTTACAAGCTACATTATTTCTACTGTGCAAAGAAGGAAATTTAGTTTCCCACGACTCTTCCTTTTACATCAAAATGCTTCCCTCGCACTTGTGAAAATAGGCTGGGCTAGCCAAAAGCCCTTTGCCACGGAAGTGCTAGAGACTACCAGAATGTTCCTCTACGGGAAGCTGGGATGAAATATTCATAGAATTGCTAGGAAGCCCTGGTGACCAGAGTCATGTGTACACCCCTCCTCCAGACAAAGAGGTTTGCAGCCCTTTCTGGGGATGCATTCTAGAGGCTAATCAGACCCTCACTGAACTGTAATACCCAGCCTCTCAGAATTCACAATTGCCCTGTGTTTACATGAAGTAAGGGTATCCAAGCATATTGTGCTATTCAGCGCAAATGCCTTTTTAGGACTTGATACTTCTTTCTCCATGGCTGGCAGTGAAACAGTGGGTGGGCTCAGACACACAGATAAACACGAGCGTTCCCATGCCTTGGTCTCTCTCTAGATGTACATGGTCACTGAAGGAGGCGCAGGCATTCTTTCAGGGCATACGAAACCACTATGTACTCTGCAACAAGAATGTCCCTTGCTCCAAAAGAGTAAACCAGGCAATGTGGCAATTCAAGCTCAAGGTTGCTTTATCTGGCACTTAAGTATTACAAACTTACTTGTGCTACCCTTGGATTGCTGATATCGGTCCCGGAAGAACTGATAACCTCTTGGTTAGCCCAGTCTTGGAAAAGCCTTATAAGAAGGAGATACTCATATATTGAACATAGCAAGGCAAATGTGTCCAGCAAAAATGCCTACATCAGGAGTTCTAAAAGGTAGTCTGTTGAAATAAGAAATAGGTGATTTTTAAAAAGCCCTCCTCAGACAGATTAAGGACAGAAAAATGAAAGAGGTGTCACTTTTTACCTTAGGAGATGCAAAGAGCACGGGCTCAAAGCTCGAGCACTCTGAGATCCAATTTTGGCTCCTAGTTTTTTATCTTTAAGCTGGATTTTTTAAATTTCTGTACCTTTCATGTATATTAAAGAAGGATAAAAATTGTATCTACCTTATAAGGTGTTTCCATACATACAAGGACTTATATAAATTTCTTAGAACAGTGTCTAGCACATAATAAGTGTATAAACGGTGTTCAAATTCATTGTTATTTTTGGCAAATAATATCTTAAGTCTGTGGCTTGTCTTTTTATTTAATCTTTTGAGAACAGAATTTTTCAATTTTGATTGTTTAATCTATTAATTTGTTCTTCTATAGATTATGTTTTTGGTATTGTATTTATCTAAGAAATCTTTGTATAACCCAAGGTAACAAAGGTGTTCTGTTTTCACCTAGATGTCTTACAATTTTGGGGGCTTGGTTGGTTTCATGGGCATGCACCTTATGCAGTCACATGGGGTCCCGTGCTTAAAGGGTCCATGCTTGATTCAATGCTCTGCTATTGACCATCTTGAAATTCCCAGTAATTTTTGAACAAGGGCATTTTCATCTTGTACTAGGGCTGAAAATTATGTAGCCAGTGCTGGTTCTAGGTTTTATGTTTTGGTCTATGATCCACTTTGGGGTTATTTTTGTACATGATTAAATATTTGGGTTGAGGTTAATATTTTTGAATGATGGAAAGAAGGGGAAGGGACTAGTCAAAGAACATGTTTGAATGACTCATGGTCCTGTACAACAGTGTGGGGATTTGTTAACAGGGTGCAGCCAAGAGGGGACCCCAAATAGGGATTTGGAATGGGGTCCAGAACTCAAGGTGTCCAGGAAATATTAGAAAGATATATAGGATATTCTCACCCCTTTCCCCCACAGGTGTGAGTTGGGGGAAGGAACACATGGAGCAGGAACATGAAGGGCTGTTTTGTTCAGTGACAGCTTTGCAGCTAACCTCTGGCATGGTCATTTAACATATCTATAACTTTTAACTGGTTGCATAGATATGTTAAATAGCTGTGGCCATGCTTTGAGCCAGGGAAAAGGGAATGGCATCCACCCAAGATGTAACTGGGGGGCAGGTCCCCCGAGTTACAGTGCCTGTGTGAGAGCTTGGAGAAGATTGACTCCATGACATGGGGCCATGCCTGCCCAGACCCACTATGGCAGCCCAGGAAAGCTAGAAGGATATGGGAATGCTGACAAGTGTACCTGATGTGGGAGGAGTCAGAAATGGGGCTGCAGAGGAAGATTGGTGCAGGGATTTAAACCCAGATGTGGCAGCCATTAAGGAGAGAGAACCATGAGGCTGTGACAATAAAG